TCACAAGGCAACCACAGACCATTTACTCAGAAAGGCACGGCCAGGACCACCACCGTGAACAGGCACCGGTGGCGCCCCCTGGTGGGGATGGCCTTTGAGGCTGGGGCTGCCCTGTCCAAGAGTTCATCTCCTTCCTTGCCTTTCAAGATGTGAGGAGCCAAGAAACAGGTGTGGGACGCCCTGTCTTAGGAGCCCCTTCTTCCTGGTGCCATCATGTCTTGACCAGTGCAACAGGGTTAGCTTTAAGGAACATGTTCAGCAGAAGCCAGTGCACCCCAGGAAGCCTGGAGGGCTGCATTCCATCAGGTTTCCACAATTCATTGGAGTTCCCTCTGCTCTGCAACTGATCAACAGGGTCCTTTCTACCTCTGGCACTGCTATGTAACGCTGAGAATAGCACAGGTGATATTTTGTCATGTTTCTGGGGATCAGAATTAGAAAGATTTTTGAACATCTTCATGGGGAATGAGACAGTTTTGTTAATCCTGCCTTTCCAGCTAGTCTGTACATCGTTGCCTCCTGTCCAAAGTTCTCCACACTTATTAGGCATTAAGCTGTTCATTGTCAATAAATTGTCACTAGCTCAGCAGACCAATGAGACACCAAAATCATACTTACCAGATGTAACTGGACTTTGCCTTCAAAAAGCGCGGCAGCATAATCAGAATGAAGGCAAACGCTGGCTACTGTCCCCAGATACTCCACATCTTTCAATTTTCTAACAGCTGTACCAATTTAAAAAAGTATACATTGATATATACATAAAATTATCTCACAAACATCTACAAATGAATTTTACTTATGTTTAAAGATTTATTTATTTATGTATACAGAACTGGGGTAAAGACCAGAGGTGAAGAATGGTAATAGCAGACAGAGTGGGGAGCAGAACAGGCAGATCAACAAAGTACACTGCTGAGGGGAGCAGGAGAGGTCTGCTGCACCATGAGGGTCAGCTCCCTGTCCGGGGATCAAACTTGCACTGGAGAGGCTGCAGCTAGCTTCATAGTGCTGCACTTAACCTGGTGTGTCACCTGGGGGGGTTGGGGGGGAAGCTACAAATGATTTTTAAATGCCTGCCTTTGCAAGGTTAGTCTGAACCTAAGACTTATTTTAGCCACTCTAAAGAAAATTCTAGATCATCAATTTGCCATCAGCAACTAATAGTTCACATAAAACAAAGTAATTGAAAACAAAGGATTCTCAGGTGTGGTCTAGGAGGGAAAACTTATCAGTGGAGGAGAGGACGGAGAGGGTCCAGAGGAGAGAGAGCTCAGATGCTGAAGGTCCTTACTCAAAGAATAAAAGCAGTGGGCTCGCCACTCATCCAGCTCCTACTACTCTGACAAGTGCTTAGTATGGAAAAGTAGAGCGCACACTTCAGGTCATGTCATTTTCCTTATCACCCCATAAATAGCAGAAAGAAAACTCATTCTCCAGGTGGATAAACTGAAACTCTGAGAATGTGTAAATAGTCACCTCACTAACAGAGGCAGAGGGAGATTTGAGTCCAGGGTTTCTCTAACTGTAAAGTTCATATTCTGCTCACTGGTCCACGCTGTCTTTACCACAGAGGCTAAGAATAAAATGTCACCCAAAATTTTTTGAGACTGACAAAACCTTGTAGGTTAAGATAGATCTCTGATGAAGAAAAGCAGTGAAAGACTTGGCCTTAGAGAAACGTTCTATCCTTCCTAATAATGAGATATTTGGGCCCTCCCTGGTGGTGCAACAGGTTATAAAGCACAGCACTATGAAGCTGCCTGCAGCCACTGATGCACTAATTCAACCCCTGGTCAGGGAGGTGACCCACAGGGCGCAGCAGACCTCTCCTGACCCACCCCTGCTCCCCTCAGCAGTGTATTTCAGTAGATCCACCTGTTCTGTTCCCCACTCTGTCTCTGGGGCATCATGTCACCCAACCCCTAGTATCTCTGGCCTGTACCCCAGTTCTTATATGCATAAAAAAAAAACAATAGAATACGAGACACTATATGTGACATGAGGAACCTCTGGCTTCCACTTGCCATTCTCTCCAAGGACATAGAACCAAGCTCGGTTATTCATGCCCACAGCCAGATGATAGAGTCCCACAGCTATGAAGTTGGGTTCCACATCCACAGACACTGAGATTGGTAGCTCCTATGAAACAGAACAGTGGCAGCAGTAAACCAACTGCTAAACTGTGAGTGACGACATGAAATTTAAAAACCAGAGTTCCCATACTTCTTCAATGGTGTTGGCTACGGTGACCTCAAGAAGGGAGGTGAGGTATGCAGTCCTGGTGCCACAGGCATCCCCCAGGATGGGGAGCTTGGTCAGGAAAATATGCAGAGAGCCCCTCGGGGTGGACAAGGCCAGCAGCTGGCCATCATCTGTCCAGGACAAGGAGCCCAACCCTGAAAGAAGGAATGAAACAAGATAAGTGGAAAAAAATACACTTAACAGCAGACGGGCAAGGATTTTCACTTTAGCGGCCAGAGGCATGACATCTTGCAAATGTCTTAATATTTTTTAACACAGTATTTAGACTAGGAAACCCACCACGGACTTCAGCATATGAACACGGGTACTATTCACTCACTAGGGGTTCAGAGAGAAAGTACCTGTGATTTCAGATTTTACAGTTGGAATTGGGATAAAATTCACTATTAATCTTTGACTCAATGTGGACTTATATCCTTGTAGCCAAGGTGTAGAGCTCAACAATTACTAAAATAAGTAAGCAATCTTGGGGAATGCTAGTTCCCTAAATAGTGCAATGAATGCAAATCACACAGTAAACATTAATCTAAATTAGAATAAAATGTCAATCTGCTTTAGAAAAACCAATACCTTTATTTTCATCATCCAGGTTGATTATGGCATAAATGTCTTTTAATTCTGACAATTCATGGATTTTAATGCTGAAAAGGAAATACATATATGTGTAAGAGGAGCATTACTTAAAATTGTTTTGTCCACATTTATAAGTAATGAAACAGGTATGGTCTCCAAAAAAAACCAAGGAGCTGCTTGGTTGAGGTAAGAAAATATTAGAATGTCTATTAAATTATTCTTTGTCTTTTAAATTTTCCTGTGGTAGGATGAAGGGAGGGCTTTGCCCAGCTTGATTCTCTGATCTACAGCTCGGGAACAGGAGGTTTAAGTTGACTTGAAAAAAGAATGAACAGAAAAAGTCTCCCGGGCAGGTTTCCCCCAGCAAAGGTCTCCCGCTACAGCCACCGCTCAGGGCAGTGCATTCACCACCTCCCACCCGACAAAGAGGTACTGGCTTCCCCCACGATCCAAAAGGAGAATGTTCCAATTTGATGATTTGGTATTTTGAGTTTGGGGACATAATTATTTATGAAAAGAAAAATTTGAGCTTCTAGACCCCCCAAATAACCTGCTACATAGTTTCAAACAGACCACACTGCTCCCAGGCAGCGGGGAGACCTGCGATGGAATGCGGGCGGGAAGCCAGGGCAGAAGAGATGCGATGGCCACCCGCTGTCTTTCCTCTGTTCCCTTCGTCCCTCCCTCTTACACATTTCCCCTCGCTGTGGGCACTGCCTTTTCACTGTAGGTTCACAGACCGCTGTCAGAAACAATGGATTTTGCTTCCTTTGCCTTTCCCCAATAGTAACATCTTGAAAAACTAGCGTCTAACATCCTAATCTGATACTGACCTTGACACAATCTGAGTCGTAGGCAGGTGCGCCCGTTTTACTCGTATGCACGATGTCTGCATGGGCGTGCATCTGTGTAGTTCTATGGCATTTTCTCATGCGTGAGAGTCCGGAGACCCACAACCGTGATCGACACAGAAACATACTTACCGCCCTCCCTCCTCCGCAGCCTGCCCCAACCCCTACCCACTGGCGCCTAGATCTCCTCTTTATTTCTACAGCGTTATGGTTTCAAGCACGTTCTATAAATGCATTCATACCGTATGTAGCCTCTGGAACATTTTTTCCCACTGAGTACAATTCTCTGGAGATTCATCCAGTTGTGCGCACCTCTATAATTTGTTTCTTAGCATTGCTGAGCCTAAGTCCACGATACGGATGTGCCAGCTTAACCATTCAACCGCTTAAAGGACATCTGGGTCGTTTCTACTACAAATAAAGCTGCTATAAACACTCATCCTTCGGTTTTTGTCCGAATCCAAGTTTCCCTTTCCTTGGGGAAGATGACCAGGAGCACAGCAGGGCAACAGGGCACTTGCTTGTCTAATTTAAGCAACTGCCCAATTGCCCTTCAGAGCAGCGGCAGTCTTTCTACCTACGACAATGTCTGAGGGCTCCTCACTGTCAACAGCGCTTACAGTCCTGACAGATGCTGGTGATGCTCATTTTTTAAGCATTTATTTTTGTCTAGAAGAACTGGGGTGTAGGTCAGAGGTTGGAGAGGGAGAGGGCTCACCAGAGACACAGTGGAGAGCAGAACAGGTGGACTGACTGAAACACAGTGCTGAGGGGGGCAGCGGGCGAGACAGGAGAGGTCTGCTGTGCCGGGGGGTCAGCTCCCTGACTGCCTTGGAGATAGTCTGATGCTTACCCCTAAGCCTCATTGTGGTTTTAACTTACATTTAATACCTTCAACGTAAGGTGTCTCTTAAGTAATGAACATCTCTGCAGTGCTCATCTCCCATCTGCACATCCTCTGCTCACATCTGTGCCTCTGGCCTTGTACTTCCCACAACAGGGCATGCACCTGCCATCGGGCACCAAGGACACAGCAAAATAGGCAACTGGGGTCTGCACCACTCTTTGGGGGTCTCAATGCTAACAGGAGAGGAAGGGTGCCCCCCATCAGATTTTGTGTGCCTGTGGGTGCCCACTGCCATGTGAGGTGGCACATTGGCTGGGGCATGAGAGCCGGGGTGGGGGGCGGTAAAGAAAGTTGGGAAACCTCCCCAAGGCTAAGAGCTAGTAATTCTCTCCCGTGACTGGGCCAGAGCTAGAGGGCTCCCCGTGGGCTCTCTGTTCTGGTGCCTGCAGGTGACTTCAGGCTGCCTGGAGCACCGGCTGGGGGAGTCTGAAGGCAAATGAGAGACTCGCCACTGGTTCAGGGACACTTCAAGCTGCTCTTCTCCAGTCTGCCTGCTGCTATTTACTGTTCAGAGTCCTGAAGTAGTTGCTCTATGATCCTGCCCAGATTTGTAGCTGCAGTCAGTGTGGGAGACAGGCTGGGGTGTGTTTACTTCATGCCGCCCTGACATGCCCGTTTTCTTTTCAGGATTGATTTTTCAAGCATAGGGCCCTCCCTGGCGGTGCAACGGGTTGAAGCGCAGTACTGGGAAGCTGGCCACAGCACTTCAGCACGAGTTTGATCCCCAGCCAGGGAGCTGACCCACATGGCGCGGCAGACCTCTCCTGACCCGCCTGCTGCTCCCCTCAGCAGTGCATTTCAGTAGATCTGCCTGTTCTCCTCTCCACTCTGGTGAATCCTCTCATCCCCACACCTCTGGCCTGTACCCCAGTTCTGTATGCATAAATATTTTAAAAGTTTTTTTCAAGCATACTTTTATTTTAGGTTTTGTATTTAGTACATATTTGGTATTTTAGGCTTTGCCCTCAGTACTTAACGGTAAAGCAGTCAGCCAATTTCAATCGCAAACATGTTCTAAGTGAAGGAAAGCGAGGACAGAGCTACATTAACTGCCAGCATGCCGTGGTCTCCTCTGGCTGCCCCTTCCACAGCCTTCCTGGGAACCTGCACCCGACTCACCATTGATCACCACATGTCGCCACCTTGTTAAGGGCCAGTGACACCGCGACCCCGGTTAGGCTGTCTCTGTGGTCTCGAGTCTGAAATGTCTCCTCTCCAATTTCTTGCGAGTGAACAGAAACGACCACAATCATCCCACGGGAAAAGCCAACCATGAGATAGCCATCACCACACCTACAGAGACAGAGGCCACGGTAAAGAGAGACTGATGAAAGCTGAAACATGTAACATACACCCATGTCACTTTAAACAAGGGTGGGGCATGAACTCTCAGTGGCAACACAATAAATACGCAAGTGCCTTAAAACAAAGGAGCTGGAGGATATAATTTATCAAGGGCCTCATTGCCCGAAAATATGCCAGGCCGTCTCACATACTAAATAAGATCAAAATACATAAATCAAAAGTTATGTATAGACAGAAAAATGCAGAGAAATTCACTACAAGTGTTCGGGGAGGTGCAGGCCAGCCTGCGGGAATAAGCTTTCCATCCGCACCAAGTGTAGCCGACGATGCTGCCGTAGCCCTGCTGAAACTCCAGGTCCACTGGGTTTTCTGGGTCGCTCAGATTAAGAAGAAACAAAGCTTTCTTGCCAATCACAACACTTATCTGCCAGAAGAGATTATGAATTTTAGCATTCATGAAAAGATGGATAAGTAAATCTAAACAGCCTCAATCTGACTTTTGAAAACAAAGAGCCAAATTTACAAGTGTCACCTGTCATAGCTGGGAGATGAACAGTGCCACTAATTAAAGAAACCACATTTGCATTTATGGTCATGGTGAGGCTCTGATAGATCCTTTAGAGGATAGGAAAATAGGTGGGCGCAACATTGTGAAAGTCTCCCCACCTGCCCTCAGATACTGTGCAGCATGGGGAAAGTCCGTCTGACAAAGTTCCACGGAACTGAACTTATACTTGGACTCGGAGTCTCCCGTCGTGAGAAGCCATTCCGAGGCTGAGCCACGTGGCGTCAGGGGCTCATGCCAGCGTGGGTCCTCGGTTTGCCCCTTATATCAACATTTCCCATCACTCGCAGGGCCGTGTGGTGTCTCCCCTCGGTGACTCCCACAAGCCACTGCTTCCCTGCGAGTCTCGGGGAGAGGATCATTGTGTCGGGAAGAGAAGGGAGGCATCACTCGTGCGGAGTGACTCAGTGATGGGCATGACCAGTGGCCCTGATGCCAGTGTTCAGTATCACCTGTATAGCTTTTTAAGAAATAAACAAACATGACTTCATTCAATACATTCATATGTTTGTGACAATCATCTTGACTGCAGAATGTTACACTTGTGGCAGGAGAACATCTCTGAGGTGTTAAGAACTAAAATTTCCAGAGTTCTAGTCATTATCTTTGATAGAGTAAAAAAAAAAAAACAGACACAAAAAAAAACGCACATCTATAAAAAGCCCCCCCACCCCCCACTGTTTTCGCTGCCATGAAATGAGAAGAGCCAGGCCAGGCCAGCCGTGACAGGAGCTTCTCAGCCGGGGACTGGGCTGCCGGCCGCAGCAGCACATGGCAGGCCTGAGAAGCGAGGGCTTCCGTGGCCCTGTGAAGTGACAGGCGGTAACTTATTTATCAACAGACTCTGAGCCGTCCTAGGAAAAGGAAAACAGTATGTTCTGCAAGCACACCATTCACACTCTGGGCATGGATTTGACTTAAAATTCCTACTATGCTATCGGCAGCGGAGGGTCGGTCCTCAGTCTTTGTCATAAAGAACTGCAGGTCGCTGGGTTCCGACCTCACTGATGTCTGTGAAAGTAAGAAAAGGGTCACCGTGAATAAAACAGGCAGATTCATCCTGAATGTTAATAAAGCAAGTGATTTGCTCTTATTCCATTTCTATTACATGCTGAAAATCCCAAGACACTGAGAAATTCAGGATGAAACAGAACCTGTATCTTGTTAAATGGATAGATGACCTTGGGAGAAGGTATGGGAAATTTCCAGGGACCACAGCGGAGTTCAAACACCACCACAATGTATGCAGGAATGGATGCTGCCGTGACCAGAGCAGCTGGGAAAGAGAATGAAATAACCCATCTGACTTAGGTAAACCTCTCGATCAGAAAAAAGCAGGATAAGTTCAAGTAAAGAGTTTCCCTTCTATGCTCATGATGATCTGAGGCTAGTATTTATATTTTGAGTGGCCTAAAATGTTCTGATGTGTTTGTTAAAAACAAATTGAAAGCTTCTTCCCAGGCTGCAAAAAATTTCCAGAAATGAGCCCTGTTAAAAATGAGCTCGGCCCTCCCTGGTGGCGCAGCGGGTTAAAGCACTGCACTGAGAAGCTAAAGCCACTTCCGCATGAGTTCGATTCCCGCCTGCCCC